TGTTCAGTTCTTTAGAAATATGAAGAGATCAAATATAAAATAAGAACAATAGCAAAGTGAAGAAATTGTATAAAGTGAATGAATTAAGGTATATAATAGTAAAAAGAGGGAAAAATTGAGGTTTTTGTTTTCATTGGGGAATGTTTTTATGTTTGTATGAATTGAGTAACTGTTATATTTAGTAAAAAATATATGAATGCGATTCTAAACTTTGTCTAGATTTTCACTCAGTTATTCATCGTAATTCTACATCACGATTAAGAAAATTACATTATATTACCTGCCAAATTCCATAAGATAGTTATAATTTCTTCTAACATGGCATGAAACAAATGAATATATGATGTTCTAAGTGTGTATAAATGGAGTGCAAGTTACATATAAGTATGTATGTAACCAGCATTATGAGTTCTACGTAAAGTAGATCAATTACATCTATTAATGTAAAACATTTTGATCTAAAACTGTCATGTTAAGATAAATAATTGAAAAAAGTACGCTTTATATTAAACTATTTTGAATATGAAAATCAACAAGCCATGTCACAACCACAAACGATGTAAAATCGCGATGGAACAGAATGTATCAGAAGTACATTTTGACTTTGTCTGGATTTGCGTAAGTAGTGTGATGCCATCGAAAACTGATCGCTTTGGGGAAGGATATGTAACAGCCCTTTCTGACGCAAAATATTCATACATTTAGATCAAAAAGTTCCATTCAGGTCAGAGATTTAGAATTTCCAAAATAGGGGTATCCCTTACATCTAATCACATTGGTAAACAAAAGCATATGGATCAACTTGGAGCACTAAAAACACCCAGAAAGAGACATTCAACAAGTCATACTCCTGCCATAGTAAGCAAAGTGCGGCATCTTGTAACACGTGCGAATACACAAACATAAGGGTGAGTGGCAAAAACTGTCTACGTGCTTCAGGCAATAGTATAGAACATAACCAAAAGATGATTTTCGTCTGAAAGAACGATACAAGTCTTATGTACACAAATTGCTTCTAACACATATTCGTTCAACTGTCGCATGCCCCAAACAGCTGGACAGTGGAACGTACGTGTATTCTTGCTATTTCACGCGAAGACATACCGGTTAGTTTGGTAGATGTAGCATCTGTGAATTTCTGTGTGATCAGACTATTTAAACGGGTGCTGTGAAACCATCATCATTGCACATATGGTGGATTATGGAAAGCCGTGGGGAGTGGTTGTGCAGTTTTGACATGACAGCATAACAATGGAGCCTTTCGCAACAGAAACTACGCGGCTGGACTCTTGTCAAGGACGTGGCGAAATGGGCTGTAACGACGTTGTGAAGCTCCAAGATCGTTTCAGTATAACGAAACTTTCTCGAAAGTTAGTTGGTTGATTTTATTTTTATTAGTAAGATTTCAAGTGGTTTTAATTGATATAAAATTTTCAATATGTCCTCATGGGTTTGAAGTGACTTTACTTCACCAACTTTTTAAAAATTAGTTGAGTTGCTTCTTGAAAACTTTATTGTAAAAATGCTTCACCTCATGCGTTCATCAACAGAGAATTAAATCTAGGGAACGTGTAGCCCATATAATAAATTCTTCCGTGTATTCTATCAAAAGGTTCATCTTCGTTGAAACTCAACAGCATAAGAAAAGGAAATGAATAAGCGTAAAACGCTGTCAAGCAAAGCACACGCGTCTGTAAAACCGGTTCTCTTAACACTTAACAGGGCGGCAACTGGTTGGTTTGTCGTTAATCCCATCAGGATTATATAATGAACGATATACTAAAAGAGCTATTTTCATACCATCTGACCTTCAAGTCGTGTTCGCAAGAATTTCCCTTAGATGAATGAAAAACATTGGACCTAATTTCATCTTCTTCCAACTGTCATCTACAGAGTTGTTACGTGAAATAAAATCAATACACATTTCACGTAAAGTTTGATCTTTGCTTCGTTATTCTGACTTGCCTATATTTTTTACTGCTAGATACAGGTCAGATTTTGACTTCAACCTGTTACGATGAGTGTGGTATAAATACATATACTGTAGTGAATTGTTTTATATGCTAAAATGGGTCTTTACTTGCTGTGCAAGGTAAACCCAACAGATAAGTTTATTTGATAGGTTGTTTAGGCAGAGTATTCATAATAAATAGTAGATTGTAAGTTTCTACAACAGGCAGTTGCTGTCCATTTGAAACTAAGATTCAGATAAGTTTTTATATATATAAAATCAAGACGCATCAAAAGGACAGAGAAAATCCATTGGGACTGAAGAGTACAAAGTAGAAGTGTCAGGCCGAAAAGTACTAAAAATGTTGGAAAAAGTCACTACAATATTAGCAAGTTCTTAACTTTCTAGATTGCTTTCTTTTTCTGTTTGTCATAGTTACTTCAGTGTTGGCAGAACTTGTAGAATCGAGCAAACATTTTAAAAGTTTTTCAGTTGTCTAGGTAATTGCGTTTAAAGCATTTACTGCTACGGCAAGTGTGTCCGCAGTATAACTAGATTGTTCCTCAAGAAAATAAGCACCATGATCGACTGACTTACGACGATTAAACAAAATCATGACCTTTCTAAATATTTCTAAGATGTTGAGAGATCCACTGTGCACTTGTGATTACCAGGATGGTCACAACCGTTCTTATCAAATTCTTTGAACTATGATGAAAACAACCTCTACAGCATGTAAGCCCTCGACAATTTTAAACGGAATCAGGTTCGCTATAATATTATTTTCTACAACAATAATAATATTTATCTTGTTGGCCCGACATGGCCAGGTGGTTAGGGCGCTCGCCTCGCAATTTACGGGTCGCGGGTTCGAATCCCCGTCATACCAAACATACTCGCCCTTTCAGCCGTGAGGGCGTTATAATGTGACGGTCAACCCCATTATTCGTTGGTAAAAGAGTATCTCAAAGTTGGCGGTGGGTGGTGATGAATAGCTGCCTTTTCTCTAGTCTTAAAATGCTAAATTAGAGACGGCTAGCGTAGATAGCCCTCGTGTTGCTTTGCGCGAAATTCATAACAAACAAACATACTTTATCTAGTTAACAATATTATCTTACGTAAGATGGAACTGAAACTTCGATTCCTACAAGACTGCTTGATTTGTGACGATACAAAAACCAATAATTATGTATTATTACCTACAAGGAGGACTTTCACCAGGCTATTGAATGTTTCTGTATATTTGAGTTGCTTTTATAGATCACGATAACTTGTTCGTTTACTGTTCCTAAACTTGGTTTCAATTCGAAATCAGTTTCTATTTACAACTTAGCAACTGTTTCCGAGTGAATCTATTGAAGGAGAAAAAGAAAGGTCGTTGATGTCCTAATTATGTTTAATGAGATTTTAGAAAAGTTTTAAATCGGTCTAAGTGGATATGGTACAGAAAAACTGAACGATTCCAGCATCCAACTACCAAAGACAAATGATATGACACTAAAAGAGCCTATCCAAATAACAGTTAAACTCAGAATATGCTCTTGACCAAAAATGCCTAAGTTGAAATAGGAATAGGGGAAATAACTATTTTAGGCCTTAATACAAAACACAGGACAGTTATAAGTTCATAGGAAATCTTTGGAAGAGCGAGAGTCGTCTAACACATACGGTTTCTATGAACAGTAAATTAAGATATCAATGAACTGTGGTAGACTATTTATTAGATGTTCCAATCAGTTGTTTTGAAAAACCAATTCGCACACTTCAATGTATATCGATTTATATTTCAAGGGATAGTGTGTTTGCTTGTTTGATATTCAACACAAAGCTACAAAATGGACTACCTGTGCTATGCCACTGGGGGCAGGGTAGAGTGTTCAGTCATCTAAATAAATATCTCTAACGATTATTTGTGCTAGATAATTCATTTACAAATTTCAAGTAAAAAATGCTATAAAACGTTGTGAGAAAAAAAAAGTAGCAGGATCTAGCTCTACGATTTTTTGCTATTTATAATTTACATCATCTTTGTTAACAGTCACTGTGTGATTTTTCTATACCGGTATGACTTGCATGCTCCATTACACGTACTATATTCTTATAGGTTAAACAACTCAGTGGTAAAGCTTTCTTTGTGCACGTACTTTTCAATGCTGAAGGAACAACCTAACGAAAGCAACGCTTCTTTAGATATCAGCTGATAAGTCAGAATAACTTGGCAGTGGCCTAATTAATGTGGATACAACAAAACAATGCAACATTTTATATATTAAGGCAAACAACACAGTTTATATCTATATGCTAGTCTTACATCAGGTGCCTTTTGCAATGCCAACTACGCTAAGGGTTATTATCAAGATGCAGCGGTCGTGAGATAGAGCATAAACTGACGTTGCGACATGGACAATAACGACATGGTGAGACTCCGAAATCGTTTTGATATAACGTACTCGGCCTCTCTGTGCGTGTGTGTAGCGAAAATAATTTAATTGTTTGTAATTAAACACAAAGCTACACATTGGGTAGTCTGTGCTCTGCCAACCACGGGAATCGAAACCCTGTCTCTAGCGTTGTAAGTCTGCAGACATGTCACTGTGCCACGGGGGTGGGGGCGTGTAAATAAAGCACATGATTTAGATGTAATATATTTTGGCATGTTAACAGATATTAACGTGAACACAGTGTGAAAATGTCATACCACAGACAAACAACACGTTTTACATATTTAAGAACATTCGAAATAAAGTAGGAACAGAAACGTTTCGTTTACTACAAGTTATTAAGACAGTAATTTACTAAACACATTAGTGCTAAAAGATGTTCGCTTTCAACCAATAATAAAACTAAATTCAAACCTACGTAATTTTATGTTGTTAAATCTGCAAACTTGAGATTTAAGCTGAGCAAAATATGTGATTTTATCTTCGTTTGGCTGACTAGGGCAAAATTATTTACGTACTTAATGCCAGTGTTTTACCGAAATACTTTACAAATTCAGCTTTAGATATATATATTACCTTTTATCTGTATTAAAAGAGACATTACTCACCCACAATATAATCATATTCCAAGTCAAATTTTTCTGAAGTAAGAGAAAATCTGTCTCTGGGGTAGAGGAACATATAAAACGCTAAGGGCATGAAAAAAGGCCAGAAATTCAGGAACTGTGACATCTTCTGTTGTAATTACACACCAGTCTTTGAAACATAAAACTGTGGAACTGTCTTTACAAATTTAGAGATTCTATTCTGATTGACAAAGTACCCTTTGTTGTGTACAGTTGTAATTAGGAAACAGTGGTGAACCCGTCAGATTCGTTGGACTCATTTTGAACTCCTTTATAAACCAAATCTGATGTATGCCTGTATCGCAAATTACAAATAACGTCTTAGCCGCGGCATTGCCTTCTTTGTGTCCGGCGTCGTGGCTTTAAACTACCGTTGACTTTGACTTGGGAAGAGCAAGTGCGTATTTTCCTAGCCAACCGTGGGCACCGAAGCAGGTCAGTCAGCAAATGTCTAGTTGAACAACTCTCTTCCGTAAGCGTGACCTAAACCTTGAGTTACGCTCATGGAAACAAGTTCTTTCGCTTGCCCGAGGCAAATGACGGTCCTATAAAGATTACCAGTGAGAATAGCGCAGATAACCTATTTAAAACACCACCCATTCGAAACGCCGAATGTTCCTTATACTAAGCAGAGTGTTGTTTTGAGTGCAGAAAAAAGCTAACTTTCGATGGAAAAATATAAGAGTGGTAAAAATACACTATTTGAATAGTCGAATAATAAAAAAACACACCTAGTAAATGATACTTATTCCATCTCTACAAACCTAAAATCGTGGTTTTTCTCTTAAAGAAATGAAAATCACATTGTACATAACTTGCTTAACTGATTAATGACGAGAGAAGTGTTTCTCAAAAAATTATAGCTCTTTCAAGATTTATGTTCGCAAATGATAATGAGTGATTAAACACTCCTTAGCGCTGCTAGCCCACATTAAGGTAGTTGAGGCCCTGGCGCACTTATTTTTTTGAGGCCCTTGAATAGGGTACAAGCAAATTTGCAGTTAATTATAATTAATACGTATTAAGTTAATTACAGAATATGAGCTAATTATTCAAAGTTAATTAGAATATAATGCATTTAACTTTTAAGGATGATATATTAAAATTAAATGATTATAATAATAATTATTTACTTGTACAACATGGCAGATAAGAATGAATTAGGTACATAAAAACCATTATAGGTATTGTACAACATTACGGAAGCATGCCAAAACATTACCCTAAAATCGTTTTTTCCTTGCTTTGGCGAAAGCAAAATCTCTTATTATATCTTCATAATCTATTTACCTAAGCAATGTCTTTTCTATCGTGAGCAAGGAAAGGGCATGTAAGCGTTCATTTAATATCAAAGCACGTAATTAATTTTTTACTCTAGCCATGTTAGAAAAAGCTGTCTCTGCACTGTAATTCGTGGCTGGTAGACACAAGTATATTCTTAATGCCACGTCAGCATTAGGAAAAACAGATTCGAGTTTATTTTTTCTGATTGCTTTAATGCATTGTTGGGCGGATTTTGTGTATGGGCTTTACAAACAGATATGGATGTGTGGAACATTTTTATTTCAAGTTCTAGCGTATTTTATTCTGTATTGTACATGATAAAACTATCTTCTGATTGGAGAAATTTAATTCTAACATTATATTCTTCACGTGCAACTACGAAAACGACCAATTAACTATAATGTTTTACTATCTTTAATAATGTCAGAAATAATTCTATTATCAATCTACAAAGCTTTACCTAAATAATGCTTGTTTGTTTTTGACTGTTCATAGCATAATAATAATGATCTTATGATACAATCCATTTGTTCAAAAGTTATGTTGTTCATTTAGAAATGAATCAACTTAAGAAAACAGATTATGTAACATATTTGATGTTAGAGTATTTGTTTTATATTTTTCATTATCGAATTTTATTCCATATCTTTTTACAACTTTTGAGTACAAAACAGTTTCAAACAAATCTAAATATTCTTCACCTGATATAATACGAAATTCTATGATTGGTGAACCATAAAGAGTAGCAATAAGTATTTTCAATACATTTACTACAAAGAATAATATACGAGTAGCTGAAACATTAAACAAATCAAACAGGTCTGACTTTCTACGTTCGCGAAAAGATGGAAGAATGATTCATTCATGTTATCTAAAAATATCCGAAGTTACAGTTAAGTTAGTTGAAGATCTCGTATTACGTTATTTAACATCTCTTCCTTTTACACTTTTTTGCTTTAATTCATCCTACTTTGTTTTTATTGTTTGTTAAGTGTTTTAAATCTCTATCCATATTGAAACAAATTTTGAGTACACAACGTTGATTAAGTTGATTATGTATTTTGACATACATCTTGAATCAGTTAATTACGTATTTCATGAATAAGTCTGTTCCCAACTTGTTTAATACATCACTAGTACATCGTTTTTCCCAAGTGTTTAACAGTATTTATTATGAAAGGTAAAGCTATTCTACCTAAAACACCGAACAATCTGCCATAACCACGAACTCTTGGGAAATGACTTTTTTGAAAGAGAGGCAATTCATAACCTTTTGAAAAATAATTTTCCCTGTCTCACACACACAACTACCACATTATTGTCTCATTTGAATCGGTTGTTCGCGAAAATGAAGTAGTACAAAGTTACGTTCAAATTGAAATGGAATAATATGACATCATCTTTCTATTATACCTATTTCTACATCTCGAAAATAACATTTTCTATTAGAAATATAATAATAATGTTCTCACATATTTCTATATTTACTTTTCCACAGTTCCAAGTTATTATTATAAAAATATATTGAATATATATGATCATGAAAATGTACTTTCTTGGAAGCTTGATATTTTTATTTTCTTTTGGATTAGTGTACCATTCACTAGTATGATATTTTATAAACCTACCATCTCTACCAAAATGTAGAAATAAAGATAGATTAGATTTCGTATTCTGTCCGGACTGATATGGCCTGCTAATTAGGGCACTCGACTCGCAATCAGAGGGTTGCGTTCTCGAATCTCGTTTTCGAACATGCTTACCCTTTCACCAGTTGGGGCGTTATTATGTTATGGTCAATCCCACTTTTCATTAGTAAAGAGTAGTCCAAGAGTGTTGACTAGCTGCTTTTCCTCTAATTTATCACTTCAAAATTAGGGACAGCTATCGCAGATAGCCCTCGAGAAGCTTTGTGTGAAATTCAAAACAAACAGACGTATTCTGTCTTTCGCAAATTATCACATTTCTTGTTGTTTTATTATGTGAAATTAATGGATACATAATAGGATGTTTCTGTTTTTTCTTCAGTTATTATAATCTAATTAATTCCTTTTTATCATTATTTTACTAACTCACATAATCATTTCACTTAATGAGCCGTTGGGTCCTGCCTGTTATTTTACACCAATGATATCATCAGAATTATTCTTTTGATTAATTTTCTGTTGAACAATGTTGATAGAATAATTTCCTTGCAAATTATACCACGAAACAGGAAAATGAAGCTCTATTAAAACTATTTCTCATTTGTTAATTATTAATGTAATAGTTTGCTGAGCGTGTAATACAATGAATAGTTCTATTATTGAGAGTATGTATGAACACTACTCTTTCCCATACACATTCCAAAATCAATCTTGTGTACAAGGACGGCGGTTTCCCAACGCCCGTTTCAACAGTACGATCTAACAAAAATCAATAAGTACTGTGTTCAATGACTTGACCCGCATATCTTCGTATGGAATAGCATGATTATCCATTTCATTCTCCAGTTGCTTGAGGTATGCGACGGTGGAATGAGAGGTATGACTGGAAGCCTTATTTTGGCCTAGTTTCTAGGCGGAGATCCTTCTTGATTATTTTGCGCATTGTTGCCTGGGGCACGTGAACGGCTTTGGCAACTGACCTTTATGTTCTTGGATTGTCACTTGTTACAAAACGCCGCACTTTGCTTACCATGGTTCGGGTACGAAATAATGCAGGTCTCTTTCTGGATGTTCCTAGTGATCGAGGTTCATCCATATTATTTTGTTTTCCAATCACATTAATTACAAGGAATTCCATGTATTGAAAATTCTAAATCCTCGATCTGAACACATCCTCATGACCTAAGTGTATGGACATTTTGCGTCAGAAAAGACTGTTATGTATTATCCCCCAAAGCGATAAATGTTTGGTAACATCGCACTACCTGCATAATGTCAAACAATGTCAAAATGTAGTTCTGATACACTCCGTTCCATCGCGAATTTATTTCGGATTTGACTGTCACGTGACTTTCTGATTTACATATTCAAAATAGTTTTAAAATAATGTACTACATAAGAATGAATTAAAATCTTTCATCTTATAATTAGAAAAATTTACTTCTGTCACTACATACAAAATTAAAAAAATTACACTTTTGAGACGTTATCTTTTTATATTATATAAAATTGTAAGTGCAGAGAAAATTGTATTTTTTTAATAATATTGTGCAACAACTTCATTCAGTCATATTCTCAGTAATGCCTTTAATATCTGAATAAAGTCCTATGAATAACTTGAAGTATATTATATTTATGATATTTTCATTTTTTATTTCGGCTGTAATAACTGATATATCTTTTTAAAGCTGCTATGTAATAAAATGTTTTACAGTAGTGACGTTTTGTAAGCTATACTTCCTATTTCTTCGTTTTAGGAAAAACGAATGTTGCGTTTAGATAAGCGATAAAATTAAGAATGTTTTTCGAAAATTTAACACTTTAACTATTATTAGGTGAAATAATGTAAAACTTAACTTTTAGATTCATTATATGTGTTTTGTTTGATAGATACATTAGGTAAAATATATTATAAGCATGTTCGTAAGAGAGAAATTCGCAATTCTTTCCGGCAAGATAACTAAGTTAATCATATCCATCGTAATCGCACAATGTACAATAATGATCTGAGCAAAATACACAATATGACTCCAGGGACAATTACGCTAAGCGTAGCTAAGTGTTCAGTGTGTTGGACTATGGATCTGCGAGTCAAATGCTCACGTCCCGTTATCGTTAAAACAACAACAATCGCTCTCTGCACTTTGGTGCCGTGGGTGCGTTATAAGGGCGACGGTCAAATCCCATTTATAGAGTTTACTACCGTTTATAGGAGAGTCAGGGATCCTGATTTCGGAGACTTAAGAGCAATTTAATCCCGAGCCAAAGGTCCTCACCTTCATTCTTAATATTAATTTTTTTACGCATTACATAAAGTAATGATCGTAATGGACTATATTTTATTCCAAT